CCGGGGCCCCGGGCGGGCAGGGGGGGGGGGCGCCCGGGAGCCGAGCGGGACCCGCGGGGGCGTGGCCTCACGACGCGATGTCACACGCCCCTCTGTCTGGCCGCCCATTGGCTCTCCCTTACAACGCTTTTCCGGGGCAGGAGAAACTTGTCCTAGAGCCGGAAATGAGGTACTTTCGGGTTCGCGATAGCAGCGGCGCCTACAAGTGAGGGGATCGTGTCATTGGAGCCTGCTAGCTTCTCCGATCAGACTTCGTCTGGAACTAGGAAAAGACCCCCAGAATTCTGATGGCCCAAGGAAGGGAGCCGAGTGGGATTGCGAAGGATCGGCGCAGATAGATACCTCCGACCCTTCGAGGGCCACCGGAAGCTCCGCCCTCTGGACCTGGCGGAAAGCCTCCTCCTAGAAGTAGGAACCCCAAGGGACCGCCCCGGGGCGGTGGCCACCCGCCATGGCCGCGCCCCCGGGGGCGGGGCCCGCAGCTCTACGCTTCGCGTCCGCAGCCAGCTGGCAAGTCGTGCGCGGACGCCGCGTGGAGCATTTCCCTCGGGTTCTGGAGTTCCTGCGATCCCTACGCACCGCTGCCCCTGGTTTGGTTCGCTACCGACACCATGAACGCCTGTGTATGGGCCTAAAGGCCAAGGTATTGGAACAAGTAGGACCTGGAAGGGAAACAGGGTGGGATGTGAGGAAAGGGCCGAAAGCTTGGGGGCTGGAACCGGTTGAGAAAGGGCAGCTTGCCCCGACGTGGGGATTCTGAGCTCAGTACCGTGCAGGTGGTGGTGGAACTGATTCTGCAGGGCCAGCCTTGGTCCCAGGTCCTAAGTGCCCTGAAGGACCACTTTCCAGAGTCTGGACATGTGGTGCGGGACCCCAAAGCTGTAAGTAACCCCGGCAACAAGCCCTATCCCGTTACACTTGATGCAACAAGTTGCCCCTCCTCCTGGCCACTCGATCCTAGTACCCCTGACTTACCTTTCATATCTTCAACAGACAAAGCAGGATCTGAGGAAGATTTTGGAGGCCCAGGAAACTTTTTGCCAGCAGGTGAAGCAGCTGTCAGAGGCCCCTGAGGATTTGGATTCGAAGCTTCAGGTGAGAATGGCTGGTTTGGAGGCTGTTACGTGGCTCTTATTTTCTTTAATCTTCTGATCTGCTTCCTTCCCCCACTTCAGGAACTTAAACAAGAGTATGGGGAACCATTTATGGCCGCCATGGAAAAGCTGTTTTTTGAATACATGTGTCAGCTGGAAAAAGCACTGCCTATGCTACAGGCACAGCAGGTTTCGCTGGGGACAAAACATCTTAGGGCAGGGCATGGGCTGCTTCTAACAAGGACTATGGTTTTGATAACTCTCTTGCTACCCGCAGCTTCAGGACGTGCTGAGTTGGATGCAGCCTGGAGCTTCTGTCACCTCTTCTCTTGCCTTGAGCCAATATGGTGCAGACATGGGGTGGCCACTTCCAGGTATCAGGACTATCTGGAGAACCAGGAATTTGGTGCTGTAATGTTTGCATGAGACCCTCGAGACGTCCCACTGGAATAGATTTGTGGGCTTGAGGCACAATAAAAACAGACTTGAGTTAAGCTGTTACTATCTGTCCTCTTTATAAGGAGCCTCATTTTCTCTTTCAGAGTGCTCTGTTACCGATTCAGTGAACCTGACAGAGCCCATGGAACAGAATCCTCCTCAGCAACCAAGACTAGCACTTCCCAGCCCTCAGCCAAAAGCCAAGCCTGGCCCCCACCTTCCTGAGGGACCAGCTTCAAAGAAGCACTCAGAACCTTTAGCAGGCCACCACTTCAATCTGGCCCCTTTGGGCCGGCGGCGAAGAACCCAGTCCCGATGGGAATCTGCAAAGGGAGGCCAAAAGGAGCGCCCCACGGTTATGCTATTCCCCTTTAGGAATCTGGGCTCACCAAGCCAGGTCATATCAAAGCTGGTGAACAGGGACAAACATGAGATACACACAGCAGATCCAAGAGGTGCTGTGGGCACAGGAGCAGCCTCCATTGGAGAATCTAAGAGTCCATCTCAGACCCTGGGGGGACCGACTTCGGAGGAGAACCCAGTTGACTTGTCTGCCTCAGGGCAAAAGGAGTGAGTGGAACAGAGTTGCTTCTCTCTGTCTGAAACAGTCTTTGCCTGCCTTTTCTTCACCCTGTCCTCTTTGCTTGCTCCCACCCAGGAATCACTTGGATTGCTACATGGACCCCCTGAGACTATCATTATCACCTCCCAGGGCCAGGAGGCCAGGTACGTAGTCAGGACTGGGTCGGCCTCTTCTCTTGAAGACTCTGCTCTTATTTATTTATTTATTTATATCTCTGCTCTTATTTATTTATTTATCTATCTATCTATCTATCTATCTATTTATTTATTTGGAGAGGTTTTTGCTATAGGGCATGTGCACTTGCCAGAAAGAGAGAGACAGACAGAAAGCGAGAAATCACCTCCACCAAGGGGGATGGCCACGCTGCAATCCCCTCCCCTCTATTCTCCTCTTGGGATCTTGGGCATGCACACACACGTGCCTGGCGTGAATTTAAGCCACCGGGTCCAGGACCCGAACCACAGTCAACTACCTGAACCCCTTGAGGACTCTTAAAAGCCTGTGTTCACCTAGTGTGGACTGAAAACATGTGATTAAAACATGTGGCCTGCAGACACATGCAAAAATGCACTTCTGTAAGCTACTCTAGCAGGGCTATTGAGAAGCATCTACATACAAAAGCAGTATCTGCCTGTGGTCAATGGTTGTCTTCCTATTGTTGATACCCAGTACCCCATACTGTTCAGTATCAGGCAAAAGGAAGTCACTTGCGTTTATTAAACTGTCCCCCCAAAAAAGATCAGAGAAATTATATGGCTCCAGTATTGGCCTGCTCTTGTTTCAGTTAACATTTTAAATGTGATGGGTATTCCATGTTGTTGATTCCTATTTGCGTGCTCTTGGGCTTTCTCAAACCAGTTAGATTTCCACAAAAGATGATCTCCCGATAAGCATGCCTTGCCTAGCACCTGCCAATCATTAGGGGTAAACCAGATTGCGTAGCCGTCTCTTAACACCGCAATTGTATAAGGTGCCGTGGGACCATATTGCATACATGCCGTTTTCAATTCTTTTAGAGAGTTAAATGATATTGGCTTATGTTGACATTGATTTTGTTCTGGATTGTCAGGATCAGGAGCCTCTATAACAGGGCACAACTTAAATCCCAATGTATCCTCTCCTCTGTCTGCCATGCAATGCAAAACTCTCTGGAGGGGTGTTAAAGTGGAGTTGTTCTTTCTGCCCTAGTACCATTTGATATGCAAGTAGGTTTCAACTGGGAAGGGGGGGG